GATCTCTTTAGGTTAGTTAAGGTTAGATTAGGTAAAATAAATAATAATATAATAAAAATGTTTCACGAGGTACGCACTTGCACTCCAGCAGTTCGGAGTAGATCGTGGGTAATGTAATTCAATAGCTCCACGTTCCCTAAGTGACTTACAGGTTATAATGGCGCGAATAGTAGTTAGACACGGTTCAAATGGCAATAAAACAATAACATTTAAGTATAAATATATGTATACTGTTACAAGTTTTAAAGCTACTTGGGATAAACGAATGTAGTTTCATGTTACAATTTAAAGTAATTATAGAAAAAAATATTGGTAATTTAGATATATTTAGATTTTTGTTTGTGTGTGGGGGGGTAGGAGGTCGGTCAAATTGAGCGACCTTATATAGAGTTAGGATAGAGAAAAAACAGGAAAAATATAAAGTTTTACTGATAACAAGCCTTTGAAATGTATCTACAACCTCCACTGCAGTTTGTTAGTAGTTGTGCATAGATTTTGACGCAGAATACACCTAGCCGTTTTTGCTGTAGGGTTCGGTACTTGAATGGCTTCGAAAAGAAACTTGGCTAAGAGTGATGAAAAAAACTGATAAAATTTATCCTTCTTTTTCGAGGATCAACATGAAAATAATTTTATGACCTGCGCAGGAGTTTTTTTAGTAGGTTTGAATAAAATATTCAGAGCCGTTTTTTCTGTAGGCTTGTGAAACAAGAATGCTATGAATAATAATAATATCAAGGACAAATGGATGAATTTTGAATTTTGTCTAACAATCTGAAAATCAACTTTTTTGCTATTATCAATATTTTAGCCATTGAGAAAAATAGGTTATGAGTGTTGTTTCAAGAACAAATCTGCTTTTAAAGATAGTTTCTGCCCTATTTTTTATTATAATTTTTGTGAAACACTTGGGCGATCCCTATTACGAACTAGCAAGATATTCATACTCTAATTCATACACACTTGATATTTTTACATTATTTTGGTTAGTTTGCAGAATTTCGCGCAAATCTACTCGAAGGTTATCTGCGCTAGCCATCCCTAATTTAGCAGTGATGGATTAGAAGGAAGGCTGTTAGTCAACACCACTCACTGCCAACTCTTGGACTACTCGTTTACCACGACTAGTGGGATTGACCGTCACATTATAACGCCCCCACGGTTGAAAGAGCGAGCATGTTCGGTGATGAGGATTCGAACCCACGACCCTCAGATTGAGAGTCGAGAGCTCTAACTACCAGCCAATACTAGGCCCTATTTCTACATATTTAATTGTTTAAATTGTGTTCTAGTGGTGATGTGTTTACTTCTTTTTTTCTTTTTTTTACATAAGTTGTATTCTGTTCTGTGAGTCTATAAGTAACTAGCTGTTCAATACAGAGGAAGGTATGTAGATTCCATGGAGTGACATAGAGGGATTCAGATCTGAACCTCGATTCTCCAGTATAACTTCCTGAGGAATTCTTAGGGTGCGTGTTAAATTTGGTTGAGATAGAAGAAAAATTGCAAATGTTAATCTAGAACTCGTAGACAGACAAACAGGACTCTCGGAGAGTGATGTGGGAAGGTTAGATCCGAACACCTTCCTATAGTCTTGGCCAAAATGTTTGCATACTGTTCCATATTGATGTTATTGTCTATATGCATAGAGTAGTTATTGAGTAAATGCCCAAATAGTAACAGAGAAGGTAGCGTATGATCGGACAAACGTGAATGAGTTGTTATTCTAGATTGTATAAGTTCTTTTGAGCATTTCTTCGTCAAAACACACATACGCGCCTTTTTTTGGCATAAAAGGGCGTGCTTTTGGTATAATCTTTTTTTGAAACAGATCAGCGCTTTGTTCAGACAATGTCGCTTTATTTGGTGTAGGGTCATGCTTCGTCACGTGCCAGAAGTTATAGGGTGTAAAATTGTTCGACTCTTGACCAGAAATGGTATGAAGCAAACTGATATTGCCAGAACAGTAGGGTACTCCCAATGTATTGTATCCAAAATCCTGAAACGTCATCAGACTACAGGAAATGTTGTCCCAGGAAAATCTACTGTTGGACGCCGAAAAACTACTGTCCAAGATGACCGTGTTTTGATCAGATTAACATAACAAGGTCGAAAGAAGACTTGCAACACCTTACAACAGGAATGGCATAAACGCATTCACTCCAGTGAATAGGCGACTGACCATACAAGGTAATGTTGCAAAAAGGGCTGTCTGGAAACCAATATTAACCAAAATTCATCATCACCATGTTACTTGGGCATGCCAATTTACAGTTAGGACACTGGCGACATATCATATTTTCAGATGAGTCCTGTTTTTCGGCTTGTTAAAGCTGATGGTAGGATTCGTGTTCATTGTTTGCCTGGAGAACATATGAGGGAAAATTATCTTTCCCACAGTGAACAAACAGGTATGGTGCAGTATGTTTGGGCAGATATTCATCATGGTAGTTTGTTTGTTTGTTCTGAATTTCGCGCAAAGCTACACGAGGGCTATCTACGCTAGCCGTCCCTAATTTGACAGTGTAAGACTAGAGAGAAGGCAGCTAGTAATCACCACCCACCGCCAACTCTTGGGCGAGCATGTTTGGTGGGACGGAGATTCGAATCCGCGACCCTTGAATTGGGAGTCGAGCGCCCTAACCACCTGGCCATGCCGGGCCAACCATCATAGTAGAAAAACTGCTCTTCATATCCGTCAAGAAAATGTCAATGGCGCCTCCTACGGGCATCACATGGAGAAGATATTTCTGCTATATACTAGGGCAAGGTTTGGCAATAACTTTATGTTTCAGGATGATAATGTCACTGCCTACAGAATGAGTATTATACAAAATTATCTCGAACAGGAGGACGTTACAAGATTACCATGGCCAGGAAAGTCTCCAGATTGCAATTCCATTGAGAAATGTTGGGCAGAACTGAGCCGAAAAATTGCTAAGTAAGACCCTAAACCAGCTACTGTACCTGAGTTGCAGCACCTTCTAGTGACAAGTTAGGATGAACTCAATTACATCAATAATCTCATCGACAGCATACCACATCGTCTTGCAAAGGTTATTAGAGTACCAGGAAGATCAACCAAGTACTGTATGTTTAATATGAACTGGTACAAGGTTACGATGCTATTTATAATAATTTGATGTTGTACACGTATTGTGTCATTATATATACTTTGACAAGGTTTTGTTGTGATACGTGAAATGCTGAATTAAACAACTTTCTACAGGTGTTTGATAAAACTGTTTGCTGTTCTAATAAATCGTTTATAATGTCCGTAGAACCTGTCTCATTATACAAATTACATATATAGATGTTTAATATAACATGCATTTTGACAACGCTAAGTGTATTTGTATTCTATCTTAATAATGATGATCTTATTTGTTACAAAATATGCAAATATTTTGGCCAAGACTGTATATCACTTCACAGAGTCCCATAAGTGTACCTTCGAAGTTTTGTATAGATGAATAGAAAAGTACAGGGAACACATAGCGCACCCTGACAAAGCATTGTAGTTTTGTAGTTTTGACTTTCTTGTTTCAATACTTTTGTTGTATTAAAACTCTCTAGATTACTATGGCTAGCTAGGTTAAGTATATATCGATCCCTACTTGTCTTTATAAAAAAAATATTATACTTGTTTGTCTCCTTTTCATTAGCTACATTTATGTACGCCAGCAATACCAAACGTGGGGCGCGCGTATACACGATTCGATTTTATTACTCATCAGGAATAGCCAGGTGGTTAGGACGCTCGACTCGCAATCTGAGGAAACCACGTCCCACCAAACATGCTCGCCCTTTCAGCCGTGGGGGCGTTATAACGTGTCGCTCAATCCCACTATTCGTTGGTAAAAGAGTAGCCCAAGAGTTGGCGGTGGGTGATGATGACTAGCTGCCTTCCCTCGAGTCGCCCACTGCTAAGAAAGCTACACGAGGGCTATCTGCGCTAGCCGTCCCTAAACGCGAAATTCAAAACAAACTTTACACTTATTGTTTTTCAAGTAATGCAATAAGTTTTGTGTTCAACATTACGGTTACAAAGTCAGGTTACAAGACTACTTTAACTTATCACTACTTAATTCAATTTTTCGTTCCACTCCTGACAGCCCATGCAGCGCCAGAGACTATATCGGTATACCCTTTAAGTGTGGGCCTAGCATGCCCATGTAATTAGGGCGCTCAACTCGAAACCTGTGAGTCGAGGATTTGACTCCTCGTCCCACCAAAAATGTTCACCCATTCAGTCGTGGGGATGTTATAATGTTACAGTCAATCCCACTATTCGTTGGTAATAGAATATCCCAAGAGTTGGCGGTGATGACTAGCTGCCTTCCCTAGTCTTTCACTGCTAAATCAGGGACGGTTAACGCAGATAGTTAGTTCACAGAGCGTATCGATGGCTCAACGGTGAGCTTGAGGGCTTATAACGCTAAAACATAAGATTCTATCCATGAGGTGGGCCCAACACTGATAGCTCATTGTGCTTAAAAATAAATAACAAAAAATAACAGAGTCCTTAAACATGTCAAGATGATTAAACAGACTATTCCTGATAAAACCGCTACGCTACAATTTAGAAACTTTTAAGGTCCCTACTCTCTACCACATACTCTGTAACCGGTAAAAAGATAATATTTCAAGTGGTGCCTTTAAAAGACAAATCATCTGGCTTAACTTATCCCACCCACACACCCATGAGTTTGTTTATGACTATCTTAAGTTGATTGTTGTTGTGAATTTCGCGCAAACCTACCCGTGGGCTATCTGCGCCAGCCGTCCCTAATTTACCAGTGAAAGACTAAATGAAGGCAGCTAGTCAACATCACCCACCGCCAACTCTTGTGATACTCTTTTACCAATGAATAGTGTGATTAATTGTCACATTATAACGCCCCCACGACAAAGGGCGAGCATGCTTAGTGGGATAGGGATTCGATCCCGCAGATTCCGAGTCGAGCACTATAACCACCTTGATTTCTTGTTCTGTTTTATTTACCTCTTTACACCCACTATGGAAATTATAGTTGATTTTTTGTTTAAAACACTCATAATAAATATACACTATAACGATTTTTCCTTTGTACCAAATATATTTCTTCTTGTATTGTTGATATTTATGGAAATTTAACGCTAAAATCCGGTTTTCGATTCCACAAGGTGGACAGAGTGCAGATAACCTTTTGTGTAGCTTTGCGATAAACAAACTAAGAAAATTATTGCAAATTATAGATAACCTGTAAATTTGTAATCTCGAATTTATTTTTGCAATATAACTAAATATGTTTTCAACTAGTTGTAAGTAAACTTTTATTTTGCTTATTATTAATTGTATTTCATGTTCCTGTTTCGTTATCCTTGCTACTTTTTAACATCTTTGTATCAGCAACTTTTGTTGACACATGAGTTATTATGGCACAAACAAGTTAAACAACTACGTGCCCCTGTATAAATATGAATGCATGCGGGTGCACATGAGATTATTACTGTACTGTAGGAAATTGCGATTTTCATTTAGAAGGCCGGTGAGTGGTTTCTTAGTCAATAATATTTATTTGTGAATGAAGTAATTTATTTTAATTTTATTAATTTAATCGAAACATTATTTTTTATTTAGATTACGTAATGGTCCAACAAGACAGTAAACTGTGTTATAGATAACATGTTTTATGTTTTAGTAATTTATAAACAAATGGTTTGAAAATGAAAGTGAAGCTGTGACTGTGAGTACGGAAGGCTCTGTCACCATTTTATTTTTAGTTTGCCGTTCAGGGTTGTGAGGCTGTTATATTTATAGTTTTAACACTATCAGTCGACTATCATTTATTTTTCTTTAAAAAAAAAAAAAAGAGAGAGAGAAAAAAAAAGTCAAACTTTATAGGTTCAAAACGTCTTAATTTGAATGTTAAATAAAATTGGTTGGTAGGAGTATTAAATTACAGTTTTTAGAGTAAAGTTAAACATAAAGTTTAAACCCAAAATGTTACGAAAATTTAGTTACTATTTAACCACTGGTAGTGGTAAATTGAGTAGCACAACCAACGTAGACAGAATTGTTAAACTTTAGGTAAGACGTAAGAACTAACAAAAATAATGTCATAACCAGCATAATTATTTCGCCAAATTTAATAGTTGATAAATTTGAACAATTTTAATGAACTTTAAAGTGTAGACCTAACTGTTTTAAAAACAGTATTTTCTTTACTGTTTACAAAAATAAAATAAAAACGTGTTTAAATTTGTGGAATGACAGTGTCAAATAACGGTTGGAGACGGCATGAATGGATAATGAAGAAAAACTTTAATATAAGTTTAACATAACAGCAAATGCACAACGTTTCGACAAGGTTTTGTCATCATCAGTGTCAAAGTATAGGCAGAGAGAAAACAAGGTACAACTCCTATACTATAGTATAAGTTATACAGTACTTGTCTGATTTAAAACATCATAAATTTAAATGTTTTAAATACTCAATTTTTTAAAGTATTGTAGCAACATTTATTTTAATTTTTATTGTTAGACAGTTTTGTTTGTAAAATTACTGAAAATCTGAAATCAAACGAATTATAGTGGATAAAAAATAATCCTTTTTTTTATTACTTCATCTAATGAATCCAACTGAACTATGATTGAATGTCTTTTCAGGTTTTCTCTTTACCATTATTTTGTATTACTTTATATGAAGAGAAACATTTAATTTTAATAATATATATTTTTTATCTTAAAATATACTGACATACAATAATCCAATAATTTACTTGTGTTTAAAAAATACAATTTACAAACCAAAGCACCATGAATAGATGTTCACAATTTCATAATTACAGGAATGGATGCTTTTAAAAAAGGATGGTTCTCTGAAACTGGTTTAGATTGCTCAGACCAGACAGTGGTGTCTTACAATGTTGAGAAGATCCTATATCATGGAAGATCAGATTATCAAGACATTCTTGTGTTTGAAAAGTGAGCTATTAATTACATAAATTTTGTTTTTAGTGTGACTTGAGAATGACCACTTATTAAATTTTTTAAAGCAAAATTATCTATTATTTTCAGAGATTTGATGCTCTTTTAGTTTTACACTTCTATCATTTGTAACTTTAATGTTTGCTAAAATAAAAATCAACAACAATAATAAGTGTGAATTTAGAAATATTTTCTTATATAAGTTCAATAATGACTCAAATCCAGCTATAATCCTTCAGTTACCAACAGAGACCCCAATGACTTTTTTAAATGCATTTTTCTAATCTTTATGCACTAAATTGCATGGAATAAATGATGATGTTGGTTACATGGACCCTGATAAGGAATCACAAAAAGCAAAAGTTTAGAAAATATCTACCAAAAACAAGGAACTGTTTGTTTCTTAAAGGCTGTCCTTGCATGGCCACCTTTGAGAAGTGAAAATTTAAACCCACCTTTTATATTTCAAGAAATTGCAGTTTTCACCCTTAAACTATAAAGTTTGATTTCCTCTACTGGTCATAGCAACTTGATGCATAATTTAAATTACCCAGTCTTAGTGAAAGTCTTTCTTGTCTAAACCTTACATCTACATTTTCTTGTCCTGCTACCTTCAAAAATAGATCAATAACCAAGTCTCCAACCTCAAACAGGCAATGAAGAAAGTCACATTTGATATGAGATTAAAATAAAAAAAGATAATTTGTGTGTGTGTGGTGCAGCCACTCTGAAACACTGTGTCTCTTTGACTACTCATAATTCTTGACTGAAATACATTGACATAATATGGATTACATATTTGGATACAGCAGATTCTGGACTTTCCAAGCAAGAATTACTAGAATTTGTTGTTCTTTGACCTGCCACTCAAAAATGTTATGTTGCTTCTGGTTGAGGGAGAGATTCTGTTAATTTTAATTATGTTTAAATCAAATAATGAATTATTCGAAATATTCTCATTGTGATTTTTCATTACCATTTTTGATTAATTCAAGGTCATTAAGCTTAATTGATTAGCATCATGACTTAAAAAGAATAACAAACTAATTGAAATTAGTGTTTCCAGTTATAATTTTTTTCAATTATTCCAAATATCCAAGCCTCATGTGAGAATAATTAATTAATGAGCTCTATGATTAGTTGATTATCAAATTTCACTAATTGTCCATCTCTAACATTAAGTGTATAATCCAGTTTACGTATCTTTTCCCAACTTCCACGTATGTGATCTTCTTAGCTAATCTTCTGTGTCGCATCTTATCAAAAGCTCTTTGAAAAGCTAAGTACCCCAAGTCTACGCCCTTTTCATTGTCTAGATGACATATAACATCCTTATGTAAAGATAATAGATTTGTAATTTCAGATTTCTCCTTGGTGATTCCATGTTGGCTTTCATTTTCAATATCATATTTCACTAACTGATTTTATTAAACTGTAGAATTTCCCCAGCAGAAAAGTTAGATTAATTAGTCTGAAATTTCAATAGAAACTTTATCACTCTCCTACTGATCCTTAGTTTTTTGTGTCCACTGTCTATTGACCAACTGAAAATGAGAGAGAGAGAGAAACATATGTGATCTTTGACCTCCTTTCAAATCCTAGTAAACCTTTATCTATTTTTAACCTTTCGATTTTTCTCCTACCACCAAGTGATTAGTTTTTCCACAGTTCAGGTCATTTCTATATTTCCAGTAGAATATAATCAGTATTACAATTAATTCAACTAATTAATGCTAGGATCTTCCTTTTATTTCACACAGAAATTGAGTGAATTGACCCTTTTTTAGGGGAAGTTCTTTAAGTTGAGTATAGTGACAGGTAAAAAAAACCATAGATTTAGTGATAACGCAAAATGTGGACCCTATCAAAAATGAACACTATTAAAACAAATTGGTAATTTCAGGGTTACTTTTTAGGATTACTAAAAGCAAATTTCAAGCTAAATTCATTTTCTTTATTATCCACCCTTATTGCTACCTGTTTTGTGATTATTTTTTTTGTGTGTGTGTTTAAGAGAATCTGTTGAGCATTTGTAGTATATACTGTTGGTATTTTTATGTGGAATTAATTTATTCAGCTTAACATTCTGCTTGTGTTCCAGGCAGGTTTCAATTTTTGTGTTAATACTGTTAATCAGATTAAGCAGGTGGTTGTAGTCTATCCATGATACGTTAGTTCTTCACTGATTCATGTCGAATGTTAGATTGTTTCTTCTGTGTGTATTCCAACTCCAGTTGTAAACAACAACACAGACATGAAAAATGGGCAGGTGATTTCTGTAGATAACGTTTTGTAATTTTAAAGTAGAGTAATTTGGATAATTTTTTTTTCTTAACTTATGTTTAAGATTGTTTCTTTACTATTTTATTAGGGTTACTGCTATTACTAATCCCAAAGATTCTTGAAATATATGAAAAGAGAACATTACGTGAAAATGAAGTGTGTTAATGTTTGAAGAAAAAAGTTTTCATAATGAAAATGCCTTTTTCATAGCACTAAAAATTTTCAATTCGCGTATAACTGAATTATAGAAGGAATTGTAAAACTACAAAGTATGATTTACTGTCGTGAATGTAAAAGTTACTGCAAATGTCATCGGGACATGAGTACTCTTAAACTATAAATCAACCCTCGGTCTAACATTTATACATATGTAGGCAGTGTGCAGGTTTACAGAATTTACTCTGAAACTATAAATCAACCCTTGGTCTAACATTTATACATATGTAGGCAGTGTGCAGGTTTACAGAATTATATACCATTGTAATTAAAGGAAACATCTCCTAAGAAGTTCATAGGAAACCATCCTTTCACATAAATTAAAGACTCAATATTTTTCTCTTACTATTTCTAACTGGTAATTATATAAAAGCTGCTTAAAAAAGGTTCTTCATACATTTATACAGTAGGATTCTTGCCTTTGAAAGTCAAACAAAGTTTTTTTTACCTCAGTTCATGATCGAGGGGATGTCTGAATCACTCTTGGGCTCCTCACCTTAGATAGAGTTGTTGGAAAGGGTTCAAAGGAAAGTAAGAAGAATGATCCTGCAGATGGAGAAGGTGTCATATGAGGACTTGTTAAGGTCCTTAAAATCATTTTGTCTTGAGAAAAGAAGGATTAGATGGGATGTGATTAAGATGTTAATAACTAAAGGGAATAGGTAGGATTGATGCATGAGAAAAAAAGGATTAGACGGGATGTGATTAAGATGTTAATAACTAAAGGGAATAGGTAGGATTCATGCATGAGAAAAAAGGATTAGACGGGATGTGATTAAGATGTTAATAACTAAAGGGAATAGGTAGGATTGATGCATCGTTTTTTTTCACATTTATTGGCAAGAGTGGTAGGACTAGTGGAGAGAGCAAGGACTAGTGTTGAAGTTATCTGTAAATTGGATAGTTTTATCTTATGGATAGCTTTAGAAATAGATTGCCTTCAGACATAGTAAATGCGAAAGGATTGGAAGAGTTAAAGATGCCTAGCTGCCTTCCCTATAGTCTTTCACTGCTAAATTAGAGTTGGCCAGTGCAGATAGCCCTCGTGTAGCTTTACGCAAAATTCAAAACAAACAAATATCATATAGATAAAATATATATCGTATAGAGAAAACATATCATATATATATAGAACATCATATATATCATATAGAGAAACCATCATATATATATATAGAGAACATCATATATATCATATATATATATAGAGAGAGAGAGAGAGAGAGAAAGAGAAAATATCATATATAGTATGTGGGAATACTGAATAAAACTGTAGGTGTGTATTTAGGAGGTTGTAGAGACTATGCAACTGCAATCTTCATACTTTATGATGGACAAAAGTATTTTTAATCTTAACATGAACATCACCATGCACTCTGACGTATCATAGTCAGGCTGACATTTCACACACACACACACATCTTTAGTACAAAAACTTTTGATTTTTTTGTGTACAACATTCATGAGTAAAAGTTTGCCACATTTCCTGAAGATACACTTTGTAAATTCACTATTATAGTCAAAATTATTTCTCCAATTGACCTGACCCACCTTGTTCACATTCAGTTAACTAGTTAAATGTGATTAAACATTTAGGATTAAAGAATTACAACATTTTCAAGTAAGTAATGGCTTTTTGAAAAAAGTTTGGTTGTAAAATACTCTTTTTTTTTTTTAAGAATTTAATATTTGAAATGGTGTAATATGCAACAAGTAAGTGACTTTTAATCCAGGAATGTTTTTTTCTTTTACTTACAGGTTCCTGGATACACTGTAATGCTATTTGAGTTTAAGCCTCCCAGATTTTTTTTTAAAATCAGAAGTGTTTTCAGGGTATTATGTCCAAAAAAAAAAAATATATATATATATATATAA